TCTTTATATAAGGTCTGTTACAAGGTATGCTTCCCCAAATGGTGTCTCATGTAAAGAGGTGTACTAAAAAGAAGGTAAGTATGTGACCTACAGAATCACCGATAGTAAAATAATTTTATTACTCCATTAATCAAATGCCAGTAATAATTAAAGCAGATTGACACAATCATTCTTTGGGTGAAGAAGAATGGCCACTAACCTGACCTGGAGGCTTCACACACTATACTATAGATACTTGAATGAGACTTCAGAACAGACCAGACAGGTCTGAAATTCTGTGAAAGAAAATCCACTATTTGAAAGTAATTGCTTCCTGTCTGCTTCACACTCTCCCTATGTGGACAATATCGGTGGGGGGTCAGTTAAATGATACCCAGTAATAAGTCAGAAGGTTTATTCTTCCATATGTGTATTGCACATTAAGATATACTTTAAATATTGAGCCCATTGCTAGAGTTGCAAAACCTATAAACTGGATGTACTTCTCTAAATGATAACTGTATCCTAACACAAATATTGAAGGCATTCGGGATATGATTAGAAGCAGATGGCAACAAAATGGCTGCTGTTCAGAGGAAAATAAATAAATATGTGACTTAACACAGTTTTGAAATTTGAAAGTATTGAATTAATTTTCAAACAAATATTTGCCCAGGACTTGAGCAGAATTAACAGAAATAATATTATATCACTAGTTGTGTATACACATGCATTAGATCCAGGAGCAGTTTACTTATGAGTAAACTACTCATGAGTAAATGCTCTTGGGTGGGCAGCTACACATGCAGGGAAGTGGGAGCAGATTTGCTGCTAATGGCAGCAAACTGCTCCCACTTCCTAGGACCCTGCAATGGGCCCCTGTTGTCACCAGGGGGAGCTCTAGGCTCCCCCCGGAGTGCTAGCCTAGGGGCTGGCAGGAAGCATGGGGGCTGGGACATTGTTCCCTACCCCCCAGGGGGCTGCTTGCTGCTGGCGCAGAGACAATGTCCTCCTGCCCCTGCAGGAGGGAGCTCTTGGCCCCAGCTCCCCAACTGGGGCAGGGGACTTGGAAAGACCTGTAGGGGAGGGGCAGGCCCCAACCTCATGCCCTGATCCACTGGTGGGGCAGCCAGGAGCAAATCCCCAGATGGGTGGGGATTCCCCACCCATTCAGGGGCTTGCTACTAGCTGCCTCACCAGCAGATGGGGCAGAGGTCGGGGACATACCCTACCCCTATAGCTCTTTCCAAGCCCCGCACCTCAATCACCCAATTGGGGAATGGGGCTGGGACCTGCCCCTGACAGGGACAGTTCCCAGCCCCTGCTCTGCAATGACAGGGTGGGGGTTGGAGAGTTTGTTTCCTGCTCAGCTCCATGATTGTGGAGCTGGGTGGGGACAGCTCCCCAGCCGCTGCCAGCAGGGAGCTCCCACTGCCAACTCCACGGTCATGGAGCTGGTTCTGGGAGATAAGGATCTCCCAGTCCCCTGCTCCCTGTTGCGATGGTGAAGTGGGGGCTGGGAGGTAAGAAACTCCCAACCCCCAAGATCTAGTAGTACGGGGGCTTGGAGCTCCCTGCTGCTGGGGAAAGGGGACATAGTACCCACCTGGGTTCTGGTGGTGGAGCCCACCTTGGCAGCAAGCAGCTCCTGGGGGCAGGGAGCAATTTGCTGCCCCCAGTGGCCAGCTGACTGGGAGTAGATTTGCTCCTAGTCAGGTGTCAACACGAGTGTCACTGTGCAATAACAAATCGCAAGTAAATTTGCTACTTGCAGTTGCAGGTAGCAAATTTATTCACCATTAGCAAGGTTTACTGCTCACTAAGAGTGTGCACAGGTAGACTCACATGGTTACTGCACAGTAAACTATGCTACTGCTCAATAAAGCGTCTAGTGTTGACATACCCACTGTAAAATTAGCTCAGGGTCTTACTTGGGATTTTCCCCAATGTCTCTCCATCTGCGTAACCTCTTACCAAATTAAATGGTAGCATTTAGTAGCAAGGTAGCTGGCATGGATGGTGGTATGGGATAGAGCCTGACATACTTTGAAAGGGAGATTCAGGCTAAATCACTAGAGTCCTGAGAGTCCTCCATTGCCTTGCTATATATCCCTTCATGGGCCCAAAGAGTCCAATCACCATTCACTAGGAAAAAATGCAGAACAGTTCAGCTTACTGAACCAAAAAATGGGTATTTAACCCATTCTAGAAATGCTGGGGGGGGGGAGGGATTCAGCACCAATGAGGACACAGTAACTTCAGGCAGGGCTCTGTAGTATGGCTGTTTCCAAAGGATTAAATTAAGCTAGAACCTCAGATCTAGGTTAACTCTACAGTGAACACATGCTCTTTTGTGGGATACTGTACATAAGAGTTGGCATGCCATCTCATGCTTCAGAAAAACATGGAGAACAGCAATAGCAATGTGACTCCACTGGTCAGAATCCCCTGTGCTTTCTTATAGTACTGGTTGTCAAACCTTTCCTCTATTTTGACTAAATATGCACCACTTAAAGCTGTTTTCAAAGTTAAGAGTGCCGTCAGCTCTCTGTAGTTAGGTGAATTTCTCTTGTAGGGATTTTATAAAGAGTAAGAATTTACACACTAAACTATATAACATTGAGTGTACTCAGATATATCAGTCTCCTAGAGCCTCACAAAGCATACACCTACATACATCATGGCTACTTGAGTCTATTTTTTATTTTACAAGTCTAGTGTAGAATGTTGTTAAATGAGATTTCAGGATGTACAGACCTACATGGCCTAACTTTTAGGTAGCTCTTTAGAACAGTGGTCTCTAAACTTTTTTGATTGTACACCCCTATCTATATAAATAGAAGTTCTAATATTTTCTTCCTCCACCTGTCACAGGCCAGCTGGGCACTGTGAGTATATCAATTTAGTTGCAGACTGACTGAACACTGCAACTTTATTAGCCACTGGGCTTTTTGGTTCAGGATCGAGAAGGTGATGTTGGAAAGGAAAGAAATGACAAGTTTCACTTACAAAAAAGAATGAATTTTACTTATGACAACAAAAGATATAGTTTGCATATATAATAGTTAATAAAAAGGTTAAGCTAATAAACAGACAACATAACAATACGGATTAAAATTGACAGTGATAATAAAACAGATAAAGAAATTAACCAAGAATTCCCACTTGGTTAGTAACTTATCGGTAGTCCCTCGATTAGAAGATGCATGGCAAGTTGAATCAGTGAAGTCAGACGTCTCTGAACTGGGCTGCTCAAAGGATGCCGGTGGAAGCCCCTCAGTCAGGATCTGGTTCTCACTCTCACAGGGAGTAAGAGATATCCGTGTGGGTATGGGACAGCAATGACCCTTCTGTTCTGTCCTTCCCAAGGGTTACTATGACGTGTGTGTTCTTTTATATTCTAATTATGTTAATTTTTTAGTTACATAGCCATTCATAATATTGCTTTATAGCTGTTATCCTATGGGGTTAAAAGGTGTTAGAAATTATTATAATAAGTTACTGTCCAAGCTTGGGTTTATCCAATAAACAAACTGCAACACA